TGGGGGGGGGGGGGGGGCTTGTCTTTGGGCAGGGGGAGTCTGAGGAGATGAGCAGCCAGTCTCTTGGGCAGAGCGGGAGCCTCAGTGGAGACAAAAAATGTGCTCATTGTAGTCAGCAGCATTAACTCATTTAACAATGTAGGGAGGGGCCTTGGGGGCGAGGTGACCCCCCCCGTGGCACCAGGATGCTGACAGCATCTTTTGGGGGGGGAGTGTGTTTTCTTAGTGCTGTTTGGGGACTTGGGGAGGGGCCAAGGGGGCAGCCGGGGCTGAGGGTGGTCAGTCCCAAGCTGCCTGATGCCTTTTCTCTCTCTTCTTCCCACCTTCTAGGCTGAAATCGTCAAGCGGCTAAATGGGATTTGTGCGCAGGTTCTGCCCTACCTTTCGCAAGAGGTGAGTCCTCACCTTGGCCTGGGGGGCTCCGGGGCTGCCTCCCTCATGGGCAGCCCCTGGTCTGGAGGACCTCATCACTTGTTCTCTGCCCCTACACTGGGACAAGGCCTTTGAGCAAGCCCCCCCAGGCACTGTGGGGTGGCGAATGTGCCCCTCTGTCCCCTTTGCTGGCAGCTGTGGACAATGATGGGCTCTGTTCTCTCCTGCCAGTGATTCCCAAGTCATCCACCCCTTCTGCACCAGCGGTGGGAGCTTTGGGTGGCTAAATGGGGGAGGGGGGGGCGTTTTAAAAAAATACCTCCATATGGCTCCTTGAGATCTGGTTCCTCTGCTTCATTAATTAATGCAGCTGATGGGCTCCTCCCACTCCCTTGAGAAATTAATTGGGAGGGATTGGGAGATGCTGCCTGAGGCAAGAGGAAGATGAAGCACCTCCAGTGCAATCTCTGTCCATCTCCCCACAGCACCTGCAGAGGCCGAGCCCCGCGGCTGCCCCACACTGCTGGTATTTGGTCAGGACTGGCTGTGGGTAAAGGCTGTTTATTGGTGGGGGGGAGCCGTGGGGCTGGGGGACAGGCTGTGCTTTTCCCACCCACCTGTTCTCCGGGAGGACAAAGTGGCTCCTGATCAGATCAGAGCTGCCTAATAACTAAGCCACCACTAAACCTTTTGCATCTCAATGCAACCCCTTCCCCCTCCCCAACCTTCTCCTGCTGCCAAGATGGAAAGAAAAATCCACTTGCTGGAGTGCAGTGGAGAGGCCTAGTGTTCAGAAACCTTGTGCTCTCAGAGGAGCAAGTACAGTTGTCCTTTATTTTTTAAAGTACGTAATACAGCTGTTACTCCTGCCTGTGTTCAGTGCAGCTGTGCTGGGCTCTTCCACAGCAGCATCTTCCAGCTGCTGGGATGTGTCCTAAGGAGTGGGGAGCTTCCCAAGAGCTTCTGATTTTAGGGTTTGTTTTGTTTGTTAGGGGTGTCATTTTGTGTCAGGTCTGGGGGGAGAGGCAGTGGGGGCATTGCCCACCTTAGAGCCCTTCTGGCCAAGGATTGCTGGGCCTGTGCAGGGCAGGACAAAGACGGGGACACGAGGGGACCTGCTTAACCCTGTGGTGAGGAACTGGTGCCTCTTTCCCTGCTCCTTGCTGCCGCGGTGCTGTTTGGTCTTTGTCACAATGAGGTGTGTGCAGGTGTCTCCAGCTGTGGGGTTGCCCACCGTGCCTCTGTGCCCCGATGTCTCGGTGCTGGCAGCTGAGATAACGTGTGTGTGGTTGTCAGACCGAGCAGGGCTGGGTCCCTACTCTCCTTCCCTGAGATACTAGAAATGACCCTGAATTCCTCTGTTCACTCCAGCATCAGCAGCAAGTCCTGGGAGCCATTGAACGAGCCAAGCAGGTTACGGCACCAGAACTGAACTCCATCATCCGTGTACGTGATGCATGTTTAGTTTGGGTTCAGAGGGACAGGAATCTGTGCCTTTGGCCTTCGAGACGGAGCTGGGCAGGGGAGTGGGGACCTGGGGATGTGCCCTGTGTGCTGGGAGAAGGCTGCGAGCGCTGGGCTGGTTTTGTCTACGCTTGTTGTGATGTGGGCATTGGTTTGTGGGGGAGCAGGGATTCCTGCTCCATCCCCACAGGGTGCAAGGAGAGGAGCTTTGGTTTTGAGCAGGAACCACAGCCGCTCCTTGACATGAAAACACCATCTGTTCTTGGCCAAGGTCGGGAGGGCTCTAACCGCATCCTTGGAGCATGCCAGGGTCTGAGGCCAGATGTCCTGTGGGCTAGGGGCTGTGTGTCGTGCTGGGGACACGCTGTTGAGTCTTCTCTTGAGGCTGTCACAGTCCAAGGACTCCAGAATATCTCTTTCTGGTTTTGTTCTTATTTTTTTATCTCCTATGAGGCTGCAGTGCTCTCCAGGCCCCCGAGATCCCTGGTTTAAGTTGGGTGGCCGGCACAGCCTGGGCAGCCCAGGCCCTTGAGTTGGGACCCAAGTGCACTGAAAATGACAGTTTCCCTCTCCTGTCTTCCTGTCCATCCTTCGTTCCCTACAGCAGCAGCTTCAAGCTCACCAGCTGTCGCAGCTTCAAGCCCTCGCTCTGCCTCTGACTCCGCTCCCCGTGGGCCTCCAGCCCCCGTCCCTCCCTGCTGTCAGCGCCGGCACCGGGCTCCTCTCGCTCTCAGCCTTGGGCTCCCAGGCTCACCTCTCCAAGGAGGACAAGAATGGCCACGACGGGGACGCCCACCAAGATGACGACGGGGAGAAATCGGATTAGAGTGAATAGGGGGCCGGGGGGAGGGGGCTTTC